TGAAAGATAAAGAAAACTTCGAGTGGGGACCACTACACCAACAGGCCTTTGACAGCATCAAGGCCTATTTGACTTCTCCACCAGTGTTGGTGCCACCTCAAAGGGGAAAACCCTTCAAGCTGTATATTTCTGCCTCAGAAAAGTCAATCGGGAGTTTGCTAGCCCAAAATAATGAAGGCGGGAAGGAGCAGGCAGTATACTACCTCAATAGAATTCTGACCGAGGTAGAAACAAGATATTCCCCAGTAGAGAGATTATGCCTGGCTCTATATTTCACTGCCAGTAAGCTAAGGCATTACATGTTACCTTGTCACGTACACATCATCGCAAAGACAGATGTGATAAAGTACATGTTGTCAAAGCCAATGCTAACAGGAAGGATTGGGAAGTGGATTCTAGCATTATCAGAGTTCAGTTTTCAGTATGTACCCCAAAGGGCAGTCAAAGGCCAAGCAATTGCTGACTTCCTGGCCGAGCATCAAGAATCTCAAAGCGAGGTAATCAATATCCTAGGAAGCTTGGAGGTCACTAGCATTTGGATCCTGCCAAGAAGAGATATCTCGGGCAAAGAAGATTGGGTCCAGCAAGAGATAAGAAGAGTGACTGGTCTCTGGATCATTCCTTGGAAGCTGTATTTTGATGGATCTCATACTCAGAAGGCTTCAGGAGCAGGAATTGTGATTGTAAACCCTCAAGGGGTTTATCATTATTACTCATTTCTCCTGGACTACCAAGGAAATACTAATAATCGGGCAGAGTATGAGACCTTAATAATTGGTCTGGAAATCTTGATGGATCTGGGGGCAGTAGAGGTAGAGGTCTTTGGAGATTCAGAGTTAGTAATAAATCAGTTAAATGGGGAGTTCAAGTGCAAACATATTACCATGGCGGGATATTACTTGGCGGCTACGCAATTACTGAGTTTCTGAGGTTCTGAGATATCAGTCAATCATGTTCCCAGGGTATCCAACTTAGCGGCCAACGAGATGGCACAACTAGCCTCAGGAGTGCCAATACAGGAGAGAATATATGGGGTAGATGTCGAGATCCAAAGAAAAAACCTTCCTTCTATCTTAGAAAGGGGATTCAGTCTGGATATAATGGTTCTAGAAACTGAGATAGAAGATTGGAGGTCGCCTATCATTCATCATTTGAAGGATCCTTCTTCACCTACAAGCAAGAAGAATAGACAGTAAGCAACCAAATATGTCTTATGGGCGAAGAACTTGCTAAGGAAAACTCCATATGAGATATTATTGAAATGCTTGGGCCAAGAAGAATCCATGAGGGTAATGGCCGAAGTACATGAAGGAGTATGTGGAGCACATCAGGCTGGAACGAAGATGAGATGGTTGCTTAGAAGGTATGGTTATTTCTGGCCCGACACGGAAAATGATTGCAAGTCTTATGCCCGAGGTTGTGAAGAATGTTAAAGGCACGGACCACTCCAGCATGTGCCCTCGGTACCTTTAAATCCAGTAGTCAAGCCTTGGCCCTTTCGAGGATGGGCAATGGACTTCATCGGGCAAATCTATCCAGCTTCTAGTAAAGGGAATACTTTCATAATTGTAGTAACGGATTATTTCACCAAGTGGGTGGAGGCATCAGCAGTGAAATCCATAACTTCAGCCGCAGTCAAGAATTTTATCGAGACCAAGATTCTACACAGATATGGGGTGCCCGAAACTATAGTAACGGATCGTGGGCCATCTTTTATTTCAAAAGAAGTTGAGGAGTTTGCAAGCAAATACAAAATAAAGATGATCCAGTCCAGTCCGTATTATCCTCAATCAAATGGCCAGGCAGAGGCCAGCAACAAGATCCTGGTCAACATTATCAAAAGAATGGTGATAGATAGTCCAAAAAAGTGGCATGAAAAGCTGGGGAACACTTTGTGGGCATACAGAACTTCCAAGAGGGCAGGAACAGGGACAACTCCTTATGCTTTAACCTTCAGGCAAGATGCAGTGCTCCCCGTGGAGATCAATGTGAGTTCTGTCAGAATTCAAAATCAATTTGGATTGCACATTGAAGAATACATCGAAGCCATGTGTCAAGGGATTGAAGACTTGGATGTGGCCCGAATTGAAGCCTTGAACCAGATTCAGGAAGGAAAGAAAGTCGTTGTCTGAGCTTATAACAAAAAGGTAAAGATGAAGTCTTTCCAGGAAGGGGATTTAGTATGGAAGACAATCCTCCCTCTAGGAGCTCAGCTCAGGGGCTTTGGAAAATGGAGCCCGACATGGGAAGGTCCTTTCATTATTAGTCGCATTTTGGATAGGGGAGGTTACTACTTGGCAGACCTTGAAGGAAATAGGCAGAAACATCCCATTAATGTTAAATTTTTAAAGAAATATTTTCCTACGTTGTGGGATGTTAGAGATTGTTATATTGAAGAGGATGCAAGGCAAAGCCAGCTTCAGGATATTAATGTGCAGTGTATATTTATCAACCATTCAAGAAGACAGGAAGACAAGAGTTGCTAAAATAATGTATATTTCATTTCGACAGATTGGTAAAGTTTACAACGGATTCAAGGCCAATGTATTACAATCAATTCTCTTTTTGGATGCAAGGATATCTTCGGCTGGTTTTCCGATGTCCTCATGGATGGGACCCAATCAGGTGATCGGGTTATGAGGCCAAGACACGCCTGGTGCAGCATCCTTAATCAGGACCATCACCATATGTGATGGTGAAGCCAGATTTATCACGGTAGCAAGCAGGAAAGCAAGCCTTCGTGAGGAAGCCGCCTGACCAAGGGTGTTGGAGATAGCGGAGTGTTCGACCAAAGGTGTTGGAGATAGCGATTATCTGATGAAAACTCTTTTTCTCACGGAAAGGGAATTTTAGGAGACTCCACTTAAAATATGAAGAACTCATTTCACGGTTTTGGGAAGAGACTCAGAAAGAAGAAACACTTAGGAAGAATGAAAATTGAATTCGATGATGGTTTGTTAAGACAGCTGACATTTATAAAGAATATCAGAGAGTAGTTCAAGGGTTGCGAGAAGATCAAGAGACTCCGGGTGCCATTAATTTCATCTAGAAGATACAAGTTCCAAAGACAAGGGTGCAGCCGCATGCACATTTTCAATTAATATTGGTGCCTGGAATTCCAGGCTAAATATCAATTGAATGGGGCACTGTTTGGCTCAAAAACTTGAACTTTGGGCTCAGGAAAGGGGCTGGCCCAAAAGAATGCCTAAAGGAAGAGTCGGCCGAAGCCCAGAGTGTTGGCCGAAGCCCAGTCAAAACCCAGAAAGCAGAAAATGGCTTTTTGACTTGGTGCAGCTCATGAAGACCACTTGCTCACCTACCCAAAAGTCAAGTGGTATAGACTGGCCAGCTATACAGCCCATAAAGTACTTTATAATGGCAGAACAAGTAAAATAGTTGATGAGTCACTGCTTCTCAAGTTGCCTTCGAGCAAGGCTGCTGCTACAAGAGGCCAAGCTGAGTTGTCTATAAAAGAAGAAAGAGAAATCAGGAATAAGGACACTCAATCAAACAACAAATGCAAGCATAAACTCTGCTCAAAGCCAGATTTGCCTTCAAAATGAAGCTGTAGTCAACCCAAGCCTTCACTCAAACCTTTGTAATAGCTCTGCTACCCTGTTCAACCTTGCTGTAGTATCGATTTCTCTTTAAACTTTTTTCCTCACCTCTCTCTAAAGCCCTCAGACCCGTGAAAAGCCACAAAGATAGGGACCTGCAAGACGATCAGGCTTGCCCGACAAGGTTAAACCTTGCCTGACCTTTTTTGTTTTCTTTTTGTCTTTTTATTCATTAGCCTAGCAATATGTTGTATACTTTCAGTTGTATTCAAGTTATTTCTAGTAAGATGACTATTAAAAGACACTCTCAGTACTTGGATCCGATTTGAATATATCTTCATTGTTCAAACCAGATCTAAGTTCTAAGCCCTCGGGCATGCAAATTTGATCAGTTGAAAGTCTTTGACTTCAAGGCATAAAAAAGAACCTTATGTGGACTTAACCCATCGACGATAGTCCTTGATAAACAAGAAGTCCGAGGTCACTTGGGGCGCAAGTGATCGACCTATCCCTTAGTTTTATTTCTATTATATTATGAATATCATAGAACGCTTAAGCGTGGAATGGATTCTGATAGGAAGCCTCAAGGCCTACACCTAAGGCCCTACAAAGGCACCTATTTGGATTCATTCCATTCCGCGGTCTAGAATGTTTGAGTACAAAGAACGAATTCTGATAGGAAGCCTCAAGGCCTACATCTAAGGCTCCACAAAGGCACCTATTTGGGTCTGTTCTATCTCTCGGATTCGGGTAATCAGAAGTATAATAGTTGTAAGACTCCCACAGTCAATGGAACAAATATTATGTGTGCGAGTACTGGTTTAGTTATTGATAGGAAGCCTCAAGGCCTACACCTAAGGCCCCACAAAGGCACCTGTTATAACTAACACGGTTTCTCGGATATATATATATATATATATATATATATATATATATATACATAACTAAAACTCGACATCCATTTTACATATGCCATGCTACAGATGGCAGTGGCACGCCTGAGTACTTAGACGTTAATCTTGATTGTGAGCCTCAAGGCCTACACCTAAGGCCCCACAAAGGCACATTTCAAAGTTAACGATGTCCTTCTCTTCCAGCCTTGCCCGACAAGCCTTGCCCGACAAGCCTTGCCCGATAAGTCATGCCCGACGAGTCTTGCCCGATAAGTCTTGCCCGACGAGTCTTGCCCGATAAGTCTTGCCCGACGAGCCTTGCCCGACAAAGCCCGACAGTGAAGCAGAAGCCCGACAGCAGTTCTCAACCGGCGCTAACCTCCAGGGGAGCTGTGCGCTCGTCGGCCAGGAAACATCCCCGACGGAAATTCCTGACGCGAACACTTTGAATTGGAGATTAAGTAAAAAAAAAATTACCCACAAATCATCTACATATTCATAATTATGCATGAAAAGTAGAAATTCGAAAAGCAAAAATTAAATCACTTACATGGCAAGTATTCAGCAAGAATAGCATTTCTACAAAACCCAGAATAATATTAATCAGAGAGTAACACTGAAAATAAATAAAAATAAAAATAAAATTTTAACTTTTTATACCTTCAAGTTTCAAGGTTTTTACTCTGGAGTCGAGGTAAAACCAGATTAGATTCTGAATTGGTTTATCAAAAATAATAATTTAATCATAAATTAACACTGAAAATAAATAAAAAACATCAAAAAATTTGAAATTTTCGTACCTCAAGTTTCTGGGTTTTTATTGTGAAACCAAGGCTTTTCTGGGCTTAAAATTTCCTTCGAATTGGGACCAAATTCACCGTTTTGCAGCAAGATCCGAGGTTCGGCTTTTGGATCTTGGCTCACTTTTCTGAGACGGAGGTGCAGGCGACGGTCATGGGGCTCCCATCTCTGATTTCTGATCATAGATTTGTTCATACGGTGACGACGACGGTCTCAAGTGGTATATGCGATGTCAAGGGGTTTGCGGCTGGCAAGACTGAGAATGGCGAGAGAGAATCGGTAAGGGAGTGAGAAAAGGGGGGATGAGGGATTTGACGGGTACAGAGAGACAAAGTAAGAGAGAAAAAAAGGGGAAAGAAAGTGGGATGGAAAGCGTGCACATGAAGACTTTTAAGCCTGATAATCGAAGTCTTTACTATTTACATGAAGACTTCGTAAATAACTTTGTAAATAAGGTTAGTTTATTTTTTGTAAGGGTGTTTTAACGAAAAGTTCGTGATACTATTTATTTTAATAAAAAATAAATTTTTACATTAAAAATTAATCATTATATTATTCATTTTACCCTTTATTTTATTCTTATCGTTAAAACTCAAAATTTTCAAATAATTTTCATTAGTTTTTCTTCTTTGCAATTGTTCTCCCCCAACTTTAGACTAAAGTAAGAGAGTCTAGTGAATAAAACGAAATTCAGACACATTCATACAGTGCAATTTCTCTCAGTATCTTCCACATGGCTCCAGATACATATGTCTCCATTTCTGTTTTTTTTTTTAATTATATTTTACTATTATTTCTGTGATGGTGCCGATACACCTACCTCTTTTATTATTTTACTATTATTTCTATTATGTCATCATCATGAATCACAGTGTAACATGAACACCATCAATTACGTCGATAAAACACAAAAGCCTGTGTTTTAGAGCAACTCCAGCCTTCTACTTTGCTCGGGGGACGGGCTGCAGGAAGGGGCCCGAGGGCCGGTTGATTCTTCTCCAACCATGGAGGGCTCGAGTGAGGGTGGGAGCCCGAGCACAAGGGGAGTGGATTGTTGACAGGCCTGCAGCCCGAGGGCCAAGGCATTTTTTTATTGTTTTTTGTGTCAGCCCGAGGCCCTACAGCCCCATTTTCCTGTTTTTTTATTTTATATTATTTAAACAAACAAAAAAAACTATTATTTTATTACCTATTGCCAGGGGGAGGGTTTCAATGGTGGAGATGCAAAAGGTAATTACTATTCATTAATAGTAGTTACTATTCATTAAAGGTAGTTACTATTCATTAAAGGCAGTTACTGTTCAATAAAGTGGATTCAATAGTGGATTGCCAGAGAGAAGAGCTCCAAAGATGGAGTTGCTCTTAATGCTCCAATACTCAATGAGAAGGCACCTGGCAAGTGCTCCAAGAGCGAGTCAACAAAACACACACACTTTTCAAAAATACTTAAATGAGAAGGCACCAGGCAAGTGCTCCAAGAGCGAGTCGACAAACACACACTTTTCAAAGCCACAAAGGCAAGTGCTCTTTTCTTTTCCTTTTTTTTTTCAAACAACTCGCAACAATTGTCCCGTCCAACTTCTCCACCATTCGGCTTTCTTTTATTTTTAAAAGAAAAGTTCCACTTGCTCCAAAGGTAAACGTGTGGAATACCAAGCAATAATTGTTCAGAAAAAGCACCGTGGATTATGATGTTAAGGATAGCAAGACTTCCTGTTTGGAAGAAGATTTTTCCAAAAAGGTGGTCCTCAGTACTAAGCACAACTTCTCAAGATTTTTTTATGTATGGTTGGGCTCTTGCTTGCTGATGTGATGCAAGAAGAGAACAAAATAAGTTTTGAAATATGCCTTTGTAGAGCCTTAGGTGTAGGCTTTGAGGCTCGCAATAAAAAATTTGGACACAAACGCTGCACATTCGTATAGGGCAATTTCTCCCCCTTCTTTAGACTAAAGTAACTAGTAATATGTTCGTACGTTGATGCGGCACTTGAATGCATCAGCCTCAACTATATGAATAAGACACATTTAACCTGAAAAAAAATTCAATATAATCATGAATGAACAAAACGGATAGATGAGTGAACAGTGTCGGTAAAATAAACAGCTTAACTTTTATATACATTCAACCGAGTTGATTACAAAATATATGGTTGTAAAATATGCTCTATTTCCCTCAGAAAAAGAAGCAACAGCCCCATATGCTTGACCAATGGTTCTATACTCGTTTTCAATCTGGTATAATTGAAACAACAATTAACACATAGAAAGGTTCTGTTAAGTGCCTTTGAAAAAAGGGTTTGTTGGATTGCTTTTCAGCTTGCTTGCTTTGTGGTGATATGGTGCTTGGGATTTCATGTTTGGTCCAAGAGAATGGAGAAGATTGTAGATAAACAACAATTGAAAATTAGTAGGTTCACTACCTCAATTTAATGAAAATTCTTTGTTGCAATTGATCACACCAAGACAAAAATAAAGGAAGATTTCTAATCCCATAAATTAGCAAAAATTCTACTATCCTAAATTCCTAATCCCACTTGACTTCGCTGCCCCACACCTTTATCCTTCGTCTCCCATTGACTAAAAACACTATTAAAGCACACCAACCAACCATACAAAGCCAGTGGCCACATCAAATATTAGGCACAATTCAGGTAACCAAATTCAAATAACAGAGTTCAGATAATGAAATACAAAGAATCCGATACATATAGTAAAATTCAAGAACATGATTAAGAGAATTTGAACATGTCAAGTAAAATCATATTCAGTTGAATCATAACTATAGCATGCTAAATAAAGACGGAAAATGATACAATAGTAGAAACTTCTAAGAATGGACATAAAATAACTTATGTTCTGAAAACAACTTCAAATAGGAAGAGAAAAGTTTAATACACTCACAACATCGTCCATTGTGGTACGCCATCCTTGCATGGACAATAAACCATATCTGACACAACCATTCTCGCAATCTTCGGAGAACTTTTCAGTTTTAGGAGTGCTTAGATTGTACCCATTCCAATATGCAATTAAATAAGAACTCAATCAAAAAACTTTAATCCTACGATTCAATGCTGAAAAACTAAAGTAGCTAGAAACCAAAAGATCTTAGTGACAACTTGTACAGACGTTACAAAAATGCAGGACATAAAACACATTAAAACTTCTAGAAACTCAAAGTTATTGCTATTTGGTTATGAAGATAGATATATATCACCAGCTAACCAAAAAAATGGCAAGGAATTGCCAAAATTTGTAAATCAAACACACATGCATCAACTCCTTTTCCTCTGTTAGTCTATTATCATCTCACATGTCACACTATTCGAGACTGGATCAATTTAATCACAGCCAAACCGCCAGTATTAAACATAACTAAGTACCGATCAAATGATCTAAACATTGTGTGTTACAAATCCAAATCAAAAGTGGTAATAATTAAGATAATTTCAGCTGCCATTTGCAATTAAAATTTAACAATGCTTACTCCCAAGGAATATCTGACATTGATTTCAGCAAACAAATGTGCGTGTAATTGAATTAGCTATGTATTTGAGGATTTGGGAAATGTTTTTTTGAGAGTAAACAGACGTTAATTATTAGCCATGTATTTGCGTAACAAACTGTAGCTGAAATTGCTATGTATTTCTGAATGGGGAATTTAAAAACCAATCCTAATTTGTCATTGCTTAAACAAATTGAAATTTCAGAACCAATCTCAATGAACAAATTAACGAAGTATTCAATTTTTTGAAAACTCTTAAGCTAATTTAGAAAGGCAAATTGCAAGATTTTGAAGGAATTTGAAAAAGGAGGGAGAAAAAAACCAAATTAGAAAGTCAGTGTCTTATCTCCCTCACAAAATCAATCGCACAAAAATCATAGCTTTTGATGGAATTTCAAAACCAAACAAATCTCTAAGATGAATTTGTCATGTAAACATGTTTAATTTCTCAATTATTAACACTACTCTTTCTCAATTATTAAAAACATAAAGATCAAAGTCAATTGGGTGTATAATTATATACCTCATCGTGTCAAGTAAGCAACCAAATTTTGCCTCCAATGACCCAAAATTCTGAAAATTCTAAAAATTTTAATTTAAAAAAAAAAAACAACATAAGAAAGATAAAACCGGATGCCAGATCATCAAAGATTAAAAACCACTCATAATCTATTAGCATTTGAGTCTAAATATGATACTATCATATCGAAACCAACGCTAAATAAAATCCAGCAATGAGATTGTGATGATCTAACGTCATTTCTTTAAAGCTGCATATACTAACCTAAAAAAGAAAATATGGCAAGAATAGACTACCTCCATTGGCCCTCCAAGTCTCCTAACCACCAAACCACTCGTCTAGATGCATTTGCCTGTTCTTTCCCACAATTCTTAGAGATCAAATAGAACCCTTAGAGTGACTGGGGACAATATCGAAATCCTTTTTTAAACCGTAACATAGAAAGACATGAATAATTTCGACAAAAAGACACACAAATTGTTGAGGGAGAATGTGAAGCTTATGTACGGAAGGTTTCTACTCTTGTACATCTAAAAAACCAAAGGGGAAACACCTAAAATATAGAAAATTAGGAGCATCTGATGCGGGACCCAAGAAATAAAAAACCAAAAGATATGACAATTAAGTTTGCTCAATATAAAAGTTTTTGGTGATTAAATCTCCATTTTGGATTTCGAACTATATAAGCCCTTTAGATTTCTTATAGAAATAAGAGTAAATTGTAGCAATGGCTCATCAACTTTAATCAAATTGGAACAATAGTCCCTCAACTAAAAATTCATTATTATCGGTCCCTCAACTTATCAGAATGTGTAACTATGGTCCTTTTAATTAACTTCGTTAGAATTTTGTCAAAATGAGTTATGTTAGAAAAACCATTGTTACAATTGGGGTCCCGTAACTCATCAAAACGTGTAGCTATGGTCATTTTCATCAACTTCGTCAGAATTTTGTCAAAATGAGTTATGTTGGAAGGACTAGTGCTACAAATGGATTAAAGTTGAGAGATCATTTCTCCAGTTGGATTAAAGTTGAAGGACCAAGGGTAATGAATTTTTAGTTGAGGGACAATATCTGCACGTTTTGATGAGTTGAGGGATTAATGGTAATTAATGTTTAGTTGATGAATCATTGCTCAAATTGAGTTAAAGTTAAATGATGATTGTTACAATTTACTCAAAATCCTAAGAATAGTTTATACGAAGACAAAATATAAAAAAACTATGCTGTCAAAATCATACCAATCAGCCAATTTATACATTTCACGAAAAGCATGAATGTTGAAACAAAACTATAATAAAAACATGGTTGATCCTAATCATAATCAATATTCATCAATCTGAAATTAGATTAAATAAGAAATTTAATTGAACATCCACAATGTAAAATTCCGCGAAAATTCAAAATAAAATCAAAATAATAAAAGTACATTGTTATAGTGTAGGTTTCCTCCTAGCCTTAGCTATGCAGAATAGTTTTCCGTTAATGAAAATCACAAAGAATTGTACGAACTGAAAACTAACGGAAGAAAAACAGGACAGAGCTCTCAAATGGAGCCAAATCCTTGCCCTTATACCAAAATCGTCCTCGAACACCAAGAAAAATAGTAGAGAGCTTTCAAATGAAGATGAAGAGGATAACCACAAGACCTCCATCTCTAGGTAATCTTCCTTCTTTCATTTTTACCTTTCTGCAGAATCCAAGTAGTGGATTTCATTCCGACGCTGTTCGTGCTAATCCTACCTGTACGGATAGAATTGAACAAACCCATTTGGAATCGGAGAGTATGATCCAAACTCGATGCAAATCTGAAAAAATTAGGAAAGATGAAGCATTGGGTTACTTTAATTCCATGATTCAAACCAAACCCTTGCCCTCCATTTGGACTTTCAATTGTTTGTTTGGGGCACTCTCCAAGATGAAGCAATATTCTGCTGTCGTTTCTATGTGTAAACAGTTGATGGGATGTGCTCAATTCCGGCCTAATGTCTGTACAATGAATATTTTTCTGAATTGCTTGTGCCATCTAAACCGGGTGGATTTGGGTTTCTCTGTTTTAGCAATTACCCTTAAATGTGGTCTTCAACCCGATGCTCATTCTATAAACACTTTACTTCACGGGCTTTGCAAGTACGGTTTCTGGGCTGAGGCAATAGAGCTGTTCAAGTTAATAGAAGAGAAGGGATACAAATGGACTATGCAAGGCTGGGAAAACTTCTAAGGCACTCGAGATACTTACGAATATGTTGGAAGATGGAAGGTTCAAGCCCAAACAAGACTGCTACAATCCCATCATAGATAGCCTGTGTAAGGAAAGACAAATAGATGAGGCCTTGACCCTATTTAGAGATATGATCTACAAAAGTGTTGTACCGGGTATTATCACTTATACCACCTTGATTCATGGGTTATGCAACATGAGTCGCTGGGAAGAAGTGCTCTCTCTGTTTGACGAAATGGTGGATCATGGAGTCAGGCCAGATGTTGTCACCTATAACACTCTAATTTATGCCTTATACCAATCGGGGAGGTTTGAAAAAGCCAAGAGCTTCTTGATTTGCACGCTTAACAGTGGAATTTCACCCGATGTATACACATATAGTGTTCTTATCAGCTGTCTTTGCAAGGAGGAAAGAATTCAAGAAGCGCTTACTCTGTTTGAAAAGATGACAACGAATGGCCTAAAGCCTAATGTTGTCACTTTTAATAGCATGATTTCCGCATCATGCAAGTCTGGTAACTGGGAGGAAGGTGTGAGATTATTTAAAACCATGATTGGTTATGGAGTCTTGCCTGATATTGTTACATACAATTCTGTACTGGATGCTTTACGCAAGGAAGGGAAGACAGCAGAGGCACTGAATCTTGTGGAAGAAATGATCCATAAAAGGGGAAAAGCCTGATGTTGTGACGTACAACACCTTAATTAATGGATTGTGCCGTACAGCTCAATGGGAAGAAGCTACAAGGGTGTTTAATAGAATGTTGGATGAAGGTGTTGCCCCAGATGTTATCACTTACAACAGTTTAATCACTGGCATGTGCCGTACAGCTCAATGGGAAGAAGCCACAAGGTTGTTTGATGATATGGTAAGCCGGGGACTCTTGCCTGATACCGTTACTTTGGTAATACTTTTGGATGCTATCTGCAAAGATGGGATGACAGAAGAGACTCACAAAATATTTGAGGCAACAATTGAATACGGTATGAAACTCAGCACATTAACTTGCAGTGTGCTGGTTAGTGAACATTGTTTGCAGGGCAGAATGGATAAGGCGAAGGTGGTGTTGAACTTAATGGTGATTATGGGTTATGCGCCTGATATTGCTTCCTATAAAACCTTGGTCAACGGCTATATAAACGTTAACAGAATCGGTGAAGCTTTGAGGCTTGTTAAAGAAATGATCCAAATAGGATTGATGCCTGATCTGGAAATGCAACGAACTTTGGGGCGTTTTCGTCGTAAAAGCCATGTTGGATTAGCAGGGTAATGCTCAAATTGTCCAACATATATATAGTTGTATCCTAATTGTTGGCATTGTTGATGTACCTTAAACACAACCAGCTATATGATGTTTTATACAATCTTCAAACATTCGGTTGACTCTTCCTGTGGAAACATTTCTGTGGCCTTTTAAATGCTTAGCAAGATGGAATTCTATTCCATCAACTGAAGATGGTATAACAGGATCTTGTTTTGTAGATACCATATGCTCCAAGTAGCATTAAAGCATTGGGGTTCCACCTATATACAATTATGCAATTCCACTATTTCGATTCATTTTTATAACTTAATTGATAATCAAACAAGGTGCGCTCTCAATCAGAAGATATGACATTTAAGTTTTCTCGTATAAAACCTTTTGGTGTTTAAATCGAACATCCAAAATCCTACCAATCAATCAATTTATATAGTTCACTAAAAGCATGAATGTTGAAGCAAAACAAGAACACAAAAAAATAAAAAATAAAATGGTTGATCTTATGGATCATAACTAATAGAATAAATTGTAGCAATAGTCCCTCTACTTTAATCAAATTGGAGCAATGGTTCTTCAACTAAAAATCCATTACCATTGGTCCCTCAACTTATCAAAATGTGTAGCTATAGTCATTTTCATCGATTTTGTCAAAATTTTGTCAAATAAGTTATGTTGGAATGACGATTTATACAATTAGAGTCCCTCAACTCATCAAAGTGTGTAATTATGGTCATTTTTGTCAACTACGTCAAAAATTTTGTTAAAACGAGTTATGTTGGAAGGACCATTGCTACAATTAGGTTAAAGTTAAATGACCATTTCTCCAGTTGAATTAAAGTTGAGGGACCAATGGTAATGAATTTTTAGTTGAGGGATCATAGCTGCACGTTTTGATGAGTTGATGGACCAATGGTAATGAATTTTTAGTTAAGGGATCATTGCTCCAATTGAGTTAAAGTTAAAGGACCATAACTACAATTTACTCTAACTAATATTCATCATTCCAAAAATAGATTAAACAAGAAATTCCACAATATAAATTTGACATTGAAAATCCAAAATAAAATCAAAATAATAAAAGTACATAGTTATAGTGTAGGTTTCTCTCCTAGCCTAGCTATGGAGATTAGGTTTCCGTAAACGAAAATCACAAAGAATCCTAAGAATTGAAAACTAACAGAAGAAAAACAGGAGAGAGCGCTAAAATGGAGCCAAATCCTTGCTTAAACACAAGAGAGAGATGAGAGGAATCGTATATCAATGGCCTTCTTGGACGCGTTGAAGAATGTGAAGTCGGGGTCGTCAAGTTTACTTCGGTATAGTTCACCAGTTTCTGGAAATAACTTCTTAAATAACATTAAGTAACATGAAATTACAGTAAATTTAAGTTTAAGTTGTAGTTTTTAAATATAAGATGTAGTTTTTAAATTGAAGTTGTTGTAATTTTTAAATTTAAATAATAAATTATGTTTGGCCTTATGACACTTTGTCCCTTGGTTGGAGATGATTTTTTATCACATGACTATGTTTGGCCCTCGGTTGGAGATGGTAAACAATATGACCTTGCACTGTTTATTAAAATATTAATTTCTTGAAGAGTCAGAGGGCTACTCCTTCGGTTATAGATGACCTAAATGCACAGTAACTTGGTGTTATAAAATATATTCTGTAAAATAATGAACTTACAAACCAATCACAATCCCACTGCGTTTTTTTTCATCCTTTATTTGTTTGGAAGCTCTTAATAATAGAAAGGCAATTTAGGTATTATGAAAGTTTCAGGTTTTTTTCTTTTTAATTACACAAGTTGTAGTCCTTAAAAAATTTGAAAAAATAAAGCGGTATTTAAGAACTTTTTAGAAACTTCACCTCTTTAGTCTTATATAGATATATAGATTATAACACTGTAAATACATGTCGCATATTTTATGTAATGAGCATAAGGGTAGTGTTTTTCGGAATACAGAATTAGGGTTTGAAACAAGAACCAATTGAAGACAGCTTCTTTTCAATTGCAGCTTGATTCTAGAGAAGGATTGAAATTCATGGGATTTCATGAACTGGGCTGAATCTGTGGAAGATGAAGATAAAGGTGATAACCACGAGACTTCCTAACTCAACAGGTACTCCTTCATTCATTTTTACCTTTCTGCACAAAAAAGATGGATTTCATTCCGCTGCTGGTAATGCTACTAGTACAGATAGATTTAAACAAACCCATTCGGAATCGGACAATTTGATTCAAACTCGATGCAAATCTGGAAAAATTAGGAAAGATGAAGCATTGGGGTACTTCGATTCCATGATTCAAACCAAACCCTTGCCCTCTATTTGGACTTTCAATTGTTTGTTTGGGGCACTCTCCAAGATGAAGGAATATTCTGCTGTGGTTTCTATGCGTAAACAGTTGATGGGTTGCGCTCAATTCCGACCTGATGTCAGTACGATGACTATTTTTCTGAATTGCGTGTGCCGTCTGAACCGGATGGACTTGGGTTTCTCTGTTTTAGCAATCACCCTTAAATACGGTCTTCAACCCAACGCTCATTCTATAAATACTTTGCTCCATGGACTTTGCAAGATAGTCTCGGGCCGAGGCATTGGAGTTCTTCCAGGAAATCGAAGAGAAGGGATACACGTGCGATGAAATCACTTATGCGACCATGATCAATCGGCTATGCAAGGCTGGGAAAACTTCTAAGGCACTCGAGATACTTACGAATATGTTGGAAGATGGAAGGTTCAAGCCCAAACAAGACTGCTACAATCCCATCATAGATAGCCTCTGTAAAGAAAGACGAATAGATGAGGCCTTGACCCTATTTAGAGATATGATCTACAAAAGTGTTGTACCGGGTATTATCACTTATAACACTTTGATTCATGGGTTATGCAACATGAATTGCTGGGAAGAAGTGTTCTCTCTTTTTGAAGCAATGGAAGATCAAGGAGTCAGGCCAGATGTTCTCACCTACTCCGCTCTAATTTATGCATTGTGCCAATCGGGGAGGTTGGAAAAAGCCAAGAGCTTCTTGATTTGTATGCTTGACAGTGGAATTTCACCCAGTGTATACACATATACTGTTCTTATCAGCGGTATTTGCAAGGAAGAAAGAATTCAAGAAGCGCTTACTCTGTTTGAAAAGATGACAATGAGAGGCATAAAACCTGATCTTGTCACTTTTAATTGCTTGATTTCTGCTTCATGCAAGTCTGGTAACTGGGAGGAAGGTGTGAGTTTATTTAAAACCATGATTGGTTATGGAGCCTTGCCTAATATTGTTACATATAATTCTGTACTGGATGCTTTATGCAAGGAAGGGAAGACAGCAGAGGCACTGAATCTTGTGGAAGAAATGATCCGTAGAGAGGAAAGGCCTGATGTTGTGACTTACAGCTCCTTAATTAATGGATTGTGCTGGACCAGCCACTGGAGAGAAGCTACAAGGGTGTTTAATAGAATGCTGGATGAAGGTATTGCCCTAAATGTTATCACTTACAACAGTTTAACCAATGGCATGTGCCGTACAGCTCAATGGGAAGAGGCCACAAGGTTGTTTGATGATATGATAGGCCGGGGACTCTTGCCTGATACCGTTACTTTGGTAATACTATTGGATGCTGGGATGACAGAAGAGACTAACAAAATATTTGAGGCAACAATTGAATACGGTATGAAACTCAGCACAATAACTTGCAGTATGCTGGTTAGTGAATATTGTTTGCAGGGCAGAATGGAAAAGGCGAAGGTGGTCTTGAACTTAATGGTGATTATGGGTTATGCGCCTGATATTGCTTCCCATAAAACCTTGGTCAACAGAATCGGTGAAGCTTTGAGGCTTGTTAAAGAAATTATCCAGATAGGATTGATGCCTGATCTGGAAATGTAACAAACTTTGAGGCGTTTGCGTCTGAAAAGCCATATTGGATTAGCAGGGTAATGCTCAAATTGTCCAACATATATATAGCACAACCAGCAAGATGGAAATCTGCGGAAATATTTCGGTTGACTCATCCTGTGGAAACATTTCTGTGGCATTTTAAATGCTTAGCAAGATGGAATTCTATTCCATTAACTGAAGGCGGTATAACAGGATCTTGTTTTGTAGATACCATATGCTCCAAATAGCATTAAAGCATTGGGGTTCTGCCTATATACAATTATGCAATTCCACTATTTCAATTCATTTTTATAACTTTAACTGATAAACAAACAACGTGCGCCCTCAATCAGAAGCTATGACAATTAAGTTTTCTCAATATGAAAGCTTTTGGTGATTAAATCTCCATTTTGGATGTTCGATTTATGCCTACAACGACAAAATATAAAAAAAAACTACGTCATCAAAAGCATACCAATCAATCAATATATACAGTTCATTGAAAGCATGAATGTTGAAACGGAACTATACCAAGAAAAAAAGGGTTGATCCTATGGATCATAACTAATATTCATCATTCCAAAAATAGATTAAATAAGAAATTCCAACCTGAAAATCCAAAATAAAATCAAAATAATAGAAGTACATAGTTACAGTGTAGGTTTCTCTCCTAGCCGTAGCTATGGAGATTAGTTTTCCATAAACGAAAATCACAAAGAATTCTAAGAATTGAAAACTAACAGAAGAAAAACAGGAGAGAGCGTTAAAATGGAGCCAAATCCTTGCCTTAAACACGAGAGAGATGAGAGGAATCGTATATCAATGGCCTTCTTGGACGCGTTGAAGAATGTGAAGTCCCACGTCGGAAACCTGACCGAAATGAATACAGTTTATATTTCATGGTTTCACTATTTGCACTTTGTATAAAACCCCACACTTGTTGAGTTAGCAGAAGAAACACTTTCAAAACAAGAATGACCATCACAAAAACATGACTAGAGATTTGAAAATGTTGCAACTCACATTCAACCCTTGATCGCCAGCATCCTTTTCTTTTTTCTTGGTCGAACTTCACCTCCTACATCATCGTCATCTTCACCACCATCCTCGGGCATACTGAAATTTCCCAAGTGGACACCGCAGCCATTTAAGCCTTCTTGGACGCGTTGAAGAATGTGAAGTCCCACCTGGACACCGCAGCCTTTTAAGAGGGGCGCATCTGATGATCCGCAGCAAACACGAACTCGACACAGATACGGCTTTGATTGATCACCACCCTCATCCACCTTCGACTTTATGTGAGCCGGTAATGGAATATATGTTAGCCACACACGAGCTGCATCTGTCTTTTTTGATATTAATTGTATTAAAACATCACTCTCATATATACGTACTCCATTGACTGCAGTCTCTATCGTAAAATCGCAATATGCATTTTGCGTGTTTGTGAAAGCAGCACAGATAACAAGTATTGTGTTTTTCCATTTGAAAGTCCGAGGGATTTCAATAAATATTTCACATATACAACCAGGATCAGTTGTAGAGCCATCAACCCCCACACGTACGTCCTTACGGCAACTGAACCAATTTGGAACTTCACTGCCTGGAAGTATAATACTTGGCACTTCATAGCACTTCCACGCCTGTAAGATTCATATAATGAATGTTAATTAGTCGTTCATACTGGAAGAGTGGAAAAATGGAAAAGAGAGAGAGAGAACAGTGCCTGATGCAGTAATACGCTTGCCATCTTGGAGACATCCAAAGCCAAATTTTCGCATAGCCTTTGGCAATTAGACAAGTTCATCCAACGAATGAGTCTCGTGTCTCCGTCTACCCGTATCATCTCTGACAATGTTGGAAATATTTCCAGCAATATGCAATCACCAACGTTAATCCATCTTATATTTGGTGGAAGTTTTAAAATTTCTCGAAGTCTCTTGCAACCAGACAAATCAAGTGTCTCCAACCGCACAAATTTGCTAATGCATGCAGGAAGACTCTCAAAATTGCTATTACATAGACTAATTCTTTGTAATTTAGATAAGCAACCGAAATTTGCAAGGGTATCAATGTCCGATAAACTGCATTCATCAAAATATACTCTCTCTAGATTGGGAAGTGCTACTGACCCAAAGTTGTCAAGTGAAGTGTTTGAGTTAGTTGGAAGCTCCGGAGGGAGTGTAACAAGCTTTGGGCAGCCACTGAGACCAAGATGTTCAAGACGGGGCAGCGCATAAATGCTTTGCGGCAGATTTGCAAGGTTTTCACATTCATCTAACGATAAGCGTAAAAGCCCGGTGACATTTTCAATTGATGGAGGCAATTCTTTTATAGCAGTTCTAACAATTGTCAAATCACTTAGGCTTTCCATTTTGCCCACAATTTCCGGGAATATCTCAAACTTTTCACAACCGTAAAGATTAAAATACTCCAGAGATTTCAAGCTTATTGTTGTTGGAAACACTGTAAGCTTATCGCAGAAATTAAGTCCCAGGAATTCAAGTTTATTAAGAAATCCAACTGATGAATCAACCTCGGTTAAATTTCCGCAACATTCTAGATTCAACCTCACTAAGTTTGGAACTCCGGATAAGTCGGAGATTCTGGTTAAGTATTCACAGTCAGATAAATCTATAGAAGTCAGCTTCGTCAGGATCTGTGAAGAAAAAAAGAGAGGAAGGGATGAAAACATTTCAAAGGGGACACAGAAAAAAGAAAGACTCCTTACTCTTAAATAAAACAGAAAGAAAAGAGATCAACGTATGTACCTTAAATCCCTCCCCGAATCCTGTGATACGGCTGTTCCTCATGTTGAGTAGAACAAGATTCTTCGGAATTAAATTGAGCGGCAAAGATTTCAACGGACATTCAGGCCAATCAACGAACCTTAAGTTGTTGGGGAGGTAATCAACGGCTCCAGAAAACCGTCCATTACGGTTTATGAAAATTTTAAGATTTTTCATGTTGGAGAAGGTTGCAGGACTTAAGCATATCTCGTTATCCGATTCAAGCAGCTGCACCTTTATGCCTATAATGTTTTTCGTTCCCTAGTATGAAAATTCAAAAGTATTAACAATGCAAGTTCCATATAAAACAAAATGCATGTCTCATTAACAAATAAAATGTTGTCAAATGGACTTACTGTATTCTCCGTCAGAACACGATAAACATCGTCATGAAACCACAACCTGCTGCGCTCTCCAGGATCATTGGGTGATTGTTGGCGAACTACTTCTTTACCCACTTCTTCTACCAAATTGTGCATCCGTATAATACCATAATATATATTTACGAGGGCCTTCTGTATGAGTACGTCAATGCTATGCTTAGGGTTTAGCCCACAACCTTCTAATATTTCGATCACATAGTTACTTTTTTCCCCATTAAAGAAGCACGCAATGTCGAGAAAAACTTCCTTCACTATTTCATCCAATGCATCATAACTTATCTTGAAAACGTCTTGAATTTCTCGACTTTTGATCAGACCATCTAATATAGCTTGCCACATATCTATACTTTCACAGTACAAATGTGAACCTAAAACTCTCAAAACTAATGGAAGGCCTTGAGCACACCGTATTGCATGGTCTGCAAGTTCCGCATAACCATCCAAAGGTCCTTTGCTTTTGAAGGCATTCCAACTGAAGAGCTCGAGAGATTCATGATCGTTCAATTCCTTCACCTCGTATATCAAAATATTATGATGCTGAGCAGTTAACAGTTTCTTATCCCTCGTAGTTATGATAATTCTACTACCCACGCCAAACCAACCATCTGATCCCCCAGCTAAGCAGTGTAACTGTTTCATGTCGTTCACATCATCAAGAACTAAGAGAATCCTTTTACTGCTTAATCTTTCCTTAATTAAAGTGATTCCTTTATCAACATTGGCCACCTTCAACTTGTCTCCCAGTAGAATCTCATAAAGAAGTGTCTTTTGTAATTTGGCCAATCCTTTATCCGTCATTGAACTTTCTCCAACGCTACTGAGAAAGCAACTGCCTTCGAAGTTGTGGGAAATTAAATTATAAACAGCTTTGGCAATTGTTGATTTACCAATTCCACCAATCCCCCATAAACCTACCATACGGACATCATTTCCCCCGACATGTAAGAGGTTATTTATTTCTTCTGCACGAGACTCCATTCCAACTGGGTATTCGGCCACATCCAAATATGTACGGTTTAATACTTGCACGGAAATACCTTCAACAATGTTATGAATAAGTTCCGATTCATCTTTATGCCTGCAAGCATAAAATCACACGGAACATCTTATAAATGACATTTTCCCATGTTTTTTTAAAAGAGGGAAGAAAACACACACAAAAGTAGAACAGAATTTCCTTCTATTTATATTTACAAACCAATATTTTTTTTATAGTTTGGGAAGATTGGACAAAGGATGCTAGAGACACTAATTTGTACACTAAATTTGGACTCCAAATATGCACAAATGGATGACAAGGCCACAAATCGATGACATGTTGGGTCTTTTGATTCTTGATCCTATCTCAAAAAATTTAAATCTATATATACCAAAAGAGTAGAGAAATTGAAACAAGCGAAAGCAGAAGGATGTGTTAAAGTAATAATGTATACTTATCCAAGAGAGTCCACCCAGACAAATTTCCTGCTTCTGAAAGAGCTGGCCTCCATTTGTGGATCTTGTCAACGTTATCCTTATAATTGCACTCAAGGCCAGCAAGTCCATCACCAAAACAACCCTTCTGATTTCAAACATCCGAGGGACTCACCTTGTAAAATACCGGTATCACCATTTGCTGATTTGATTTCTTGCAGTCAATGATCTTAACAAGTTCGTCCAAGCACCACCTTGAGGAAGCATATTTTTCGGAGAATACAATGACAGAAATCCTCGACTCTTCAATCGCTTTGAGGAGCGCTGGTGATATTTCTTCTCCTCTTGAAAGGTAATCATCCATGAAGGTGTTAATTCCTTTTTGACGCAAAGCTCTACACAAATGGCCTGTGAAATTGTAGCGCGTGTCCTCGCCTCTGAAACTCAAGAATACATGGTATTTCCATGGTGGAGGAGAAGAAGATGAGGCAGCTGCTGCTGCTGCTTCTTTAGCCATCGAAGCCAACGAGATGATTGTTGCAAACAGATGATTGTTTCAATAGAGTTTCAATTAATGTTCGACAGGCTATATCTGCGAAAAAAGTTTAAACAGAAGATGAGGAAGTAATGATTATGTCCAACCTTTGGGTCAACATTTGTGGGCTATATCTGCGAAAAAAGTTTAAACACAAAACCCCCAAAATTATAAAATCAAAATATAATGTACTACCCCTTCTCTCCCCTTTTTTCTTTCACCCTCCATTTCTGCAAATCACCTACCCCCCCTCTCTCCCTGTATACTCCCTACCTCTCTCATAATATCAAAACCCTCAAACCCAATTCAGTGCCTCATCAGAACCCCCATACAGAATCTAATTAAATTTTTACCCAAACAAAGAATTCAATTGTAATATTTTAAACTTGAAGAAAACAAATCCCACAGCTTTGGAAAAAAAAAAAAAAAAAAAAAAACCTCGCAGATGCAGGATTCAAAGAACTTACCACAAAACGTTAGCCTTTTTGGCTAAAAATCATCTTCAATCCAAATCAAAAAACTGAAGAAGCTTAAACTGGTTTGGTTTTTTAGCGAGCCAAGATTTGTGAGGGGCAGAAAAACCTAAAAGTATCCCGAACGATCCCAAATTTTGGAACTGATTTAAACCAACCTGCGATGAAATTATAGCCGCTTGAGAAATCTTCTTCAAATCAGAACAGAAAAGGCAGCACAGACTGCCTTTCCTGAATAAAAATGATAACAAAATTCAATATCCTTCACTTTGAATTGGAGATTAAGTAAAAAAAAAATTACCCACAAATCATCTACATATTCATAATTATGCATGAAAAGAAGAAATTCGAAAAGCAAAAATTAAATCACTTACATGGCAGGTACTCAGCAAGAACAGCATTTCTGCAAAACTCAAAATAATATTAATCAGAGAGAAACACTGAAAATAAATAAAAATAAAAAAAGTTCTCGCAAAGATCACTAAAACTAAGTGAAACTAATATGCAAATACAATGCATATATAGGGATTGTCCAGAGATCACTGAAAACTACATGCTTAACAGTGTTAGAAGAAAAATATTATTGGAATTATTGTATACTTTTGCTTTACATGTACACCGAGAGCTCTCTGACATTTGCATGTGCAGAGCTCTCTTTCCTCCTTTCCTTTCTTTTCTTCCTCACCTTTTGGTTCTTTCTCCTTAATCTAAGGAGATTGTTGTTTTGTTGTTAGTAGTTGCCATCACATCATCACATTCAAACCAACTTTAGTTAATTGAATTAACTTTAATAATTGTAATAGGAAGTAATGATTATGTCCAACCTCTCCCGTAATATCTGCAAAAAAAGTACTTCAAAAGTTTAAACACAAATCCCTACCTCTCCCGTAAAATCAAAACTCTCAAACCCAATTCAGTGCCTCATCAGAACCCATACAGAACTTTTACCCAAACAAAGAATTCAATTGTAATATTTTAAAATTGAAGAAAACAAATCCCACAGCTTGGGGGGGGGGAACTCCCAGATCCAGGATTCAAAACATTAGCCTGTTAGCCTAAAATCATCTTCAATCCAAATTAAAAAGCTGAAGAATCTTAAACTGCTTCGGTTTTTTTAGAGAGCCAAGATTTGTGAGGGACAGAAAAACCTAAAAATATCCCAAACGATCCCAAATTTTGGAACTGATTTAAACCAACCTGCCATGAAATTATAGCCGCTCGAGAAATCTTCTGCAAATCAGAACGGAAGAGGAAGCACAGACTGCCTTTCTTGAATTTAAAAATGATAACAAAATTCAATATCCTTTACTTTAAATTGAAGATAAAGTACCAAAAAAAAAACCCCCAAATCATCTACATATTCATAATTATGCACGAAAGTAGTAGCAATTCGAAAAGCAAAAATTAAATCACTTACATGGCAGGTATTCAGCAAGAATAGCATTTCTGCAAAACCCAGAATAATATTAATCAGAGAGTAACACTGAAAATAAATAAAAATAAAAATAAATTGAAAATTTTCCACCTTCAAGTTTCAAAAATATTACTTGGAATCCAGGTAAAACCCAGATCAGATTCTGGATGGGTTTATCAAAAATAATAATTTAATCAGAAATTAACACTGAAAATAAATAAAAAACATCAAAAAATATGAAATTTTCGTACCTCAAGTTTCTGGGTTTTACTGTGAAACCAAGGCTTTTCTGGGCTTAAAATTTCCTTCGAATTGGGACCAAATTCACGGTTTTTCAGCAAGATCGGAGGTTCGGGCTTTGGATCCGCTCGCGTGCAGCTTGAATCTCGCGAGATTTTGGCTCAAATTTCTGAGACTGAGGGCGACGGTCTTGGGCTCTCATCTCTGATTTCTGATCATAGATTTGTTCATACGGTGACGACGACGACGACGGTCTCAGCTGGTATATGCGATGTCAAGGGGTTTAATATTTTAAAGAAAACAAATCCACAGATTGGGGGGGGGAACTGGAAAGCACATCCAGGATTCAAACTAAGCCCTGTTAGCCTAAAATCATCGCCCCACAAGTCAATGCAAAAAGTGAAAGTATCCTTACAACTCTTCGGTTATTTTAGAAGATATCAACACTTGTCAATTAGGACAGAAAAACTAAAAATATCAAACGATTCACCAAATTTGGAACTGATTAAACCAACCTGCCCTCCAAATTATAGCCGGCTCGAGTAAAAAATCTTCTGCATCAGACACGGCAAGAGAGAAGGCCTCGTTTGGCACAGCTGCCTTTCTTGAATTTAAAATAATACAAATCATATCCTTTACTTTAATATTGAAGAATAACGAACCAAAAAAAAACCTCGACAAATTCATTCTATTCTATTATGACGAACTAGAAAGCAATTCGAAAGCATACAAATCATTAACTGGCAGGTATTCAGCAGATAGCTCTGCAGAGTGTTCTGTTAAATTAATTGTGTTTTTTCCAGGGGGAAACCCCCCCACCAAATCTTTGCTGAATTTTCCACCTTCAGCTCAAGAAATATTATGGTATCCAGGTTAAAACCAGGATCAGATTTGGAGGGAATAAGGATCAGGAGTGAGTTTTAATTTACTCAGAAATTAAAACTTGATAAATAAAAATCACGATAATAATCAAACACAGTATTGTGAAATACGGTCATTAACCGATTCATCAAACGCGCAGCTAATTTAGGCAGTTACTATCCGATGACAGCCTATCTGAGAAAATAGTCAGTACTCCGTCAGGCTGCCGAAACCGGGTGTACGAAGAATGTATATGAATACCACGTAGTAATCAACATAAAATCTGCAATCACAAAAATTACCTACCCAAGACTCCTATCTCATAAAGTTAAAGCAAATTGAGTCCTCACTGTTTAACTGAAGAATTTGTAAATATTTATTCTTTTTTTTCTTTTAGTAAAAGCATTTTCTGTAAGGCTTATTTCAATAAAATAAACATACGAACGACGACTGAGAAAAATCATCAGAGATTAGACCAAAAAAAAAAAAACATAAAAAATGTAAAGGACGAAATTGCCTGCATTCTCCTCAATTTCTTTATAACCATGCGATTCTTGCGGAATAAAATATAGTATTTTATATAAGGATCTCCGCCAGAAAAGTAAAAGATGAGTGAGAGACCAACAATCACAAAAGTGTTGTAAATGATGGGTATGTTTGCCCACATGTGTATAGTAATGTGTATAGTAAAGTATCACATGTGTACTATATACTCAAAGCTAAATAGTAATGTTTTGTAATTTTCATTGAAGTACTCTATAATAAGCAATTCAAATTGTGCAACGATTATGAATGAGAAGAAGAAAGAAAAGAGAAATATATTAATAGCATAATATAAATTACTTCTCTGCAACAGATTGTGTCCGTATATACTCTCAACTGCTTCGTTCTTCACAGGAAAGTTTCTCTCTAATAAATTTATCTATTTACAGTGAACACGTTATCAGCAACTCTCTATCTTTGTCTCCATTTCCTTTCACCAAAAGAAGTTTCCTCGTTTTTTTCTGTCTTCTTCTTCTCTCCTCATGCTGGCCAAACCCTCGCGAAGAAGAACTGTTGCACCATGTTACTTCTAGGTCTCCAACTAACTGCACATACTTTGATTTCTTGGTGGTGTAGATATTGACTACTAATCACTGAGTATTATGCAATCCAAATTGGTGCGGTCTCTGATCGTTCTGTCTTGACTGCATATCATTTCTTTCGAAAATTTTAAGTGGGGACGGTATTGTTCGCCGCTTAATCTGATATTAAATTTTCCCGTATTAATTTTATCGCAATTTAGGTGGTGTGAAATAATCACCCATCCTGCTTTGACTATTTAATTTTATTGCAATTTAGGTGGTGCGGTATAATGCTACTATATTGTCATATTTAAGCTTATGTAAAATTTGTAAAGGCCATTGAAATAAGCTCTTTTAAATAGTGCAATTTTTAATTGTGCAATTTAGGTGAGGTGCGGTATAATACGTCCACCGCTTTGCATTTTAAAGGTTATCGCAATTTTATAACCGTTATCGGTATATCCGTCCACCTTGCTCTACATATTAAATATTCCTGCTGTTAAAGTTAGTGCGGATAGATCACCGCACCTATGACGGGCTTATGGTGGGCGGTATAAATCGTCCACCTGGCTGAAGATATTTGTAGAATTTATCGCAATTTTAGTGTGCGTTGCAAGTTTCCACAGCTCACAGCTTATCTTAAATTTTTCCTGCTGTTTTAAAGTAGTGCGGGATAATCACCCATCTATGACTTGATTTCGATTGAGAATGTGCGGTTCACATTGCCCCTCTCATTAATTGTGTAATTCTGAGCCTGGTTTCATAGGAAATGCCTTGGATCAAAAAAAGCACATCTAACACCTCACTGGTCACTGCATACAACAGTATAGACGCGAGCTCACTGAATACACAGCTGAATCGCCATCTCTGTGGCTACAAACTGAGCTTCTCATGAAAAACCATAATCTTGCCCTTTGGTGGACAGCCATCCAGTTCCGAGTGAATTTTGCTCCCTGAAAGAAATACCAGATATTTACTCCCGTGGGCATATAAAAACAGAACGCTGGTCCACAAGCAAGGTCGGGAAGGCCTGGCACTGAACCATGGTGTCAGTTTCCCGACCAGGTTCCAAGAGAAAGTCAGGCCCTCCTTATAGAAATAACCACACTCGCCAGGAGAGGAAAGCAAGAAACACTCTAGTTTCACAACGGTTCCAAGGTTTAATCCAGGTGTGGTGGCACTCATTTGGCGCGTACTTGTCGGCGCCCCAAACATCTGGTGGAACTATATCACTTTCCTCTTCAAGGAGTCGGGTGCAATTTCCTTGACCGGCTAAACCAATGAAACCCCCCAGTGAACCCAATTATCAGGACAGTTAAACAACACCACCTGGATGCACAGACTGACTTAGTATGGATAAGAATTTAAGGGTCCGATGAATTATTATGTTTAATGTACTCATGTTATTTGTACTGTGGTTTTCTAATGTTCATTTCAATAAAAGTAGATATCCAGTATGAATAAATTGCTTTTCTTTACTCGATCTGGATATAAAATATGTTATATCTAAAACAAGATCATGCGGAGACTTCTGTCATAGCCAACCAGCATTCAATACTTCGAGACGAAAGTAATTCTGAATCGGTACTTGCAAAGTAAAGGTAACAACAATCAGGACCATCAGATGTAATTGAAGGCTCAGGAAAAGCCCAGATTATGTTACCAAATGGAACAATATTGTCTATAAAGAATGCATATATGCTACTCGGTCCATTCGAAATTTGTTGAGTTTTAAAGACATACGTTTTAAATGGATACCACCTTGAAACGAAAAGTGTAGAAAATGTGGAATATTTATGCATTACCTCCAACGATACCCAGAAGCGTATATTGGAGAAGTTGCATGGTTTATCGAGTGGATTGTATTGTACATACATAAAGACAGTTGAGGCATATACTGTCATGAACCATAAGTTCATTGATTCAAAGGTTTACATGCTTTGGCATGACCGTCTAGGTCATCCAGGATCCACCATGATGCGTAGAATCATTACCAACTCTAAATGGACATCCATTACTGAGCAGACACATTAATGTCCCGAATGATAATCCTTGCAAGGCTTGTTCCCAAGGGAAGTTGGTAATTAGACCATCACAACTAAAGGTTGATGATGAATCCCCATCATTTTTGCAAAGAATTCAAGGGGATATTTGTGGACCTATTCAACCACCTTGTGGACCATTTCGATATTTTATGGTTTTGGTTGATGCATCTACCCGATGGTCACATGTTTGCCTATTGTCTACTCGAAATGTAGCTTTTGCGAGACTTCTTGCTCAGATAATTAAGTTGCGAGCACAGTTCCCAGATCATCCCATTAAGTCCATTCGACTTGATAACGCTGGTGAATTTACGTCTCAAACCTTTGATGATTACTGTATGGCACTGGGCATTAATGTTGAACACCCTGTTCCTCATGTCCATACTCAAAATGGTTTAGCAGAGGCATTTATCAAGCGGCTTCAATTAATAGCCCGCACTCTGCTCATGAAAACGAAATTGCCAGTTTCTACATGGGGACATGCCATATTACATGCTGCATCATTGGTTAGATTGAGACCCATAGCCAACCACCAATACTCATCAATACAACTCGTGTTTGGACATCAGCCAAATATTTCACATTTACGAGTTTTTGGTTGTGCTGCTTATGTGCCTATTGCACCACCACAACGAACTAAAATGGGACCTCAGCGCAGATTGGGAATTTATGTGGGTTTTGATTCACCATCTATCATTAGATATTTGGAACCTTTGACTGGTGATGTGCTTACAGCTCGTTTTGCTGATTGTCATTTTGATGAGACAATTTTCCCGTCGTTAGGGGGAGAAAAGACCGTTCCAGAAGAACGACAAGAGCTAACATGGGTTGTTCCCACCTTATCTCATTTTGATCCAAGAAGCACTCAATGTGAAAACGAAGTGAAAAGAATCGTTCATCTTCAAGGTATTGCTAATCAAATGCCAGATGCATTTAATGATGCTTCGAAAGTGACACAGTCATATATACCGGCTGCAAACGCACCTGCAAGAATTGATGTCCCTGTTGGACAAAATAAAGTGGCAGCGAATGATTCATCCAGTGCACGCCTGAAGCGTGGTAGACCCCCAGGTTCAAAAGATTCAGCTCCTCGAAAGAGAAAGATGAGGGCCCAATTGAACCCAAATGATATCATTCAAGAAAAGGAATTGAATGATAAATCCACAATTCGTGACTCTGTACTTCCAGAAAAAGAAAATGTCCTTGATGAGACACATGTCCCTGAAGAGACAGAAGTACATGAAAGTAAAGAAATATCCATAAATTATGCATGTACTAATGAATTGTGGGATCGAAATGAAATAATCATCGA